GCTTGCTCTCATCTCGCCAGCGGCACGTTTCCAGAGAGAGCACGACTGCCAGCCTCCTTGAGCAAAACCAGCTTCGAGCTGAGCGGAGCCAGAGCAAGAGGCCATATTTCTTCTGAGCTGTGCGGATGAGCTGCTCATGCATAAAGACACAGAACCCACAGCTGTTAGAGCTGTGGCCTGTCCGAGAGGATTTCTTGCTCCATTAAGAAATTAGAGACTGTGCTTGGACGAGAGCAGCACAGTGCTTTGTTTCTTCCCGTAGCTTTTTACCAGGCACAAATAACTTAACCCCTCATTTCCCTCTCTGTAGAACGTGCACTTTGGTGGTTGCCTGCATCGCATGAGTATCAGATTGCGGAATTAATGAGCAGTCCATTGGTAACACAGTTTGAAATTGTCAGACTAAATTAAGCACAAGATGTTAGTTACTGATTACTTTATCTATTATATATATGTAAATTTTATCATCTTCTATTTTTCCTGCAGGAAAAAACCAAAGTGGTTGAACCATTGGACTATGAGAACGTGATCCTTCAACGCAAAGTTCAGATCTACAGTGATCCCCTCCGAGACCTGCTGATATTTCCAATCGAAGATGTATCTGTGAGTCTGTGCAGGCTGTTTCTCATGTTTGAGGTTCTCTCGACTCCAGTCCTGCTTATCTTGGAAAATTTCCACTGTTAACCACATGTTGATGTTGGCTGCCCTACAGACACATAAAACCAAAACGACCCACCGGCGATTTGGGCCTGCTCCATTTATTTAAAGCAAGCATCAAGCCCTGAAGACCCAGTTTGCACTGAAACCATGTTCTCCTTTTCCCTGCAGATTTCAGTCATTGGTCGGCAGAGAAGGACTGTCCAGTCTACAGTGCCAGAAGACGCTTTAAGGAAAGCTCAGAGCCTCTTCGTCAAAGAGGTAAGGGCAGAAGTCCCTGACGCCATCCTGCAGCACTTTCTGCCTTGGGCAAGATGCTGTGTTGTAGCTCCTGGTCTGTGAGGCTGCAGATTGCTGAGTTTTTCCTGGGTGGGAAGCACTGGTCACCGGCACTGCTCCTTTTTTCAAGCCTTGGAGTGATGCAAATACAAAATTAGTAGCTGTGTGGCAGGCCAGATGCTGTGTGATTTTTATCTCTGTGCTGAAAAGGTTCCTTATGAAATTCTGTATTGCCATATTTCCACACAAAACGAGTGAAGCAGCTTGTTCGGACCCTTTCTGCTCGTGCTTCGCTCATGCAGCGGTCTGTAGCCTTCCAGACTTGTGCATGGCTTTGTTTTGCTCAGTGTAGCTTTCAAAGAGTTCTGTTGTTTTCCTTTCAGTGCATTAAAACCTACAGCTCAGACTGGCACGTGGTAAACTACAAGTATGAGGAATACTCGGGAGACTTTCGGATGTTGCCATGGTAAGTGTCGCGCTCCCTTGGAATACTAATGCATGGTCACAGGGCTGGGGTTTGTTCAGCTGCAGGAGCAGCAGTCTGCCCTTTCTCCTGATGCCTGTCCCACCAGCAGCCTCCCCTCCAGAGATACGTCACTCTGAAGGTTGGAGAGCCAGAAGTTCGTGTTATCACACATGTTGCTCCGCTGTGTCAGGGAGATGCTGACATTATTGCCCACATGAGTCGTTGCTTCACACCCACCAGCGTGCAAACAGTCCCCTCCATGTGGGATGAGGACGGACTGCGGTCTGCACATGTGGCAGGATAAATAGTGTTGGCCGGGTCTGCTCATCCTGAATCGGGAGCCTTGTTGTCCCCCTGGGCTGTTGTTCCCTGAGGGCTAGACACAGTGTTCTCATGCTGAGCAGGTCCTCTCTGTGCCCCCTGTCACTGAGATGTTGTTTTACAACCTGGTGGAGCATCACTATTAACACTGGCCATGCTGGAGAATAGTGTGCTCTGAAATGCCGGGCTGTGCCAGTGATTCCAGCCCCAAAGCTAATCGGGTTTTTCAGACAGCCGTATCCATCTCGTGTTTCTGCTGGATTGTTGTTTTCTCAGCGGTGGCGCCTTCTCCACTCTCACTCCCCATGCTCCGTTCATGTCTGGACCCCTGTTCAGGCTGCTGGTCTGCTGGCAGCTTGTTAAATGCTTTTTCCTGTTAATTGGCTGAAGTGGGTCTGTTCTGAAGATCTCACAGAGAAGTGAAGCAGCAACGGGGCAACACTGTTGATCAAATCATATTAAAATTTGTGAATAATCTTGCAGTCTGATCTTGCGGTCTAATCTTGAATAATCTTGCTTCTCTTTTAGCAAGATGGAAGATAGACTGGCCTGCTGCATCCCTATTGCATGAATGCAAGTCAGGAAGAGCTCTGCAGAATCAGACATACTGCTAATTACATACTGCTTATGCTTAATTTCCATGAAACGCACTCAAAAGTTAGCTTTCTCCAGCTGGAAGGGGCTGTAGGTCTCTTGAAATCTGTCTTCTGCAGGAGAACAGTTCTACTGTACTCTATAGTCTGCACTTTGGCTGTTGGTTCTGGATCCAGCATCCGCTTGCTGGCTTGGAAGACCCTCATTTCCCAGTCATTAAAAATGAAACTCTGTTGTGATTTCAGCAAATCCTTTAGGCCAGACAAGATTCCAAGCCATGTGTTTGAAATTGATGAGGACTTTGAAAAGGACGAGGTAAGGAGATTTTTTTTTTTAATGGATTCCAATCTAAGATCTGTTAAAAAGCCCATTTCACAAGGCAAAGTCAGAGTTTATTTGCTAGGGATGGTTTTCTGGTGAGATGCTTCGTACAAGATGGGACCAAAACTGAGACAGTGATTTATGTCAAAGTACGACCAGATAATCTCTTGAAGCCAAGGATCTCCTCAATTATCTGGAAGATGAACCGTAATATTTCTTATGGCTTTTTCACTTGAAATGCTGCAGCAGTGGAAGAGAAAAACAGGAAACCAAACAATTACTAAGTAAAATTCTTCATGTCCAGAATTAAAAGTGGGCAGTTTGGTTTTCAACTACACTGTGATTTTGGGGTCCTCCTCTTAAGCTTTGTGCTCTGTCACATAACCTGCAATTCTTAATCAGTCCCTTCCACCCAACATTCACAGTGTGTCAGTCCCATCCTGTATATACTGCACAAATGTTCAGAGGCGTTTGTTTCCCCTGGAAGTCGGCATGTTTGTGCTCACCTCGTTGCAGGGAAGGTTTGCAGCCCTGGAGCCCTTCCATGAGGTGAGCTGGGGGTTCTGACAATTGGGACATCTCAAACCTCATGGTCGTTTTGGACAATGGAGATGCCATGTTTCCCATATTTTCCTGCATTTGCTACAAAAGGGAAGGGTAGCGTTTTTCTGTCCTAAGTGACATATGAAGCTTAATTTGCACCCATAACGTTAAGAAGTTTTTTGTTTACGGTGGGAAGAGTTTAGCCCAGCTGGTTAAAATCCACATGGCACCAAGATGCTGCTGTTGAGGAACTTACGGAGGAAAAGAGGAGATTTTTTCTTGCAGAGGTGAAGATTTGAAGGGGCTGTTCCATGCACGTTTCTGACAATTGCTGTGTATGTCCCAGCACACCTCAGGTCTGGACTGCAATGGCTTTTTCCTGAATGGAAATGTATTTTCAAGTTTGGCCTTCTTTTTGTGGCTGTGTTTTCTGTTTGCATTACATTGTTAACTTGAGCTGTCACCTGTTTAATAGTGTCTAATTTGGGCTGGAGACAGAGCTGTGCAGTATGTTATCAGTATGCCCCTGGAAAATGCTAAAGGACAAAAGTAACACTATCAAAATTTGATGGAGACCTTTTTTCTTCTGGTCAGCTTCCCAAATATTCAAACAAGCGAAGTTACTGATGTCAGTTGTGGAAGAGTATTCCCGGTGCTTTGGCAGATATTTTGGCGTTTATCTCTTTTGGCATGGCCACATCTAAAAGATTCTGTTACAGTTTCCTGATGGAGCATTTACATTAGGATTATGTAATGGAAATTCAAGTAAAAGAAATCTCTTAATGAAAAGAAGATGAAGCATTATAAAGGAGAAATCGTGGGTTGTTTTACCCAAGGAAATAAAGCATTAGAAAATTTACTTTGGAAGTTATTGGAAGTTTGAGAAGAAGAGAGTGAAAACCTGCCATTTGTGATGCAGGAGGTGATGTAAACCAGTCCCTTCATAGCTCATCAGCAGACAGTCCAGGTCCACCTCTGCTGCTGAGTCACTGGAAGTCCCAGAGTGAGTTTTTTTCCAGCAGTCTGGGATCTCATCTCCCTCTGTCCTCGTTGAAGGTCACAGTTAGGTATGGATGGAGGGCCGTTCTCCTGTTCTGGAACCATGGGACAGGAGCAGAGATGGAAGTCCCAGCTGATATGCCAAGAACAGCCTGGTTGGGTCACTTGAAACTTTTTGTTTTGATAAATGTGAAGCCAGTCAGTGACATTTCAGCTATTCCAGATTGGTGGGTTTTGCCTAAATTTAAGGTGGAGAGAGGATTTATACAGAAGGAAATGACAAAATAAGTCTGGAGTTCTGCATTTTGCAACTTTCAAAACAGACCATTTTGAAAATGTCTTTCTTCCCCAGGTTTTTGAAATGCTGCCCAAGAACCAACATGTATTTCGTCATTGCAAAATTTCCTGCAGCTCTATCAGCATAGATGTAATCTTTCTTGTTTAAAGGTTACACAAATGAGCCTGTTTTGCCTCTTTCCTGGAAAGAGATAACCCTGAAATTTGTTGTGATAACACCGTACCTATAGCTGTACATGTTACACATACATTCTACATGTTACTGCATTGCTGTAGCTGAAACTATTGCTTTCCATGGTGGACGTATCCCTTGTGTCCGAGAGGAATTTTGCATGGGAGGCAGTTCACCTGACCTCCTCTTTTTCTGATCTTTTGCTCTTTTTCAGGATTCCTCGTCCCTGTGCTCCCAGAAGGGTGGTGTGATAAAGCAAGGCTGGCTGCATAAGGCAAACGTAAATAGCACAATCACTGTTACCATGAAGGTGAGTTTGATCCAGCATTATGTTAATGGGGAACGAGGCACAAGGTTGAGTTCCGACCACATCTCTAAATCTAGCAGGAGTGCAATGGGTGGCATCTGTCCCTCTTGTAAAGTAACCCAAGGTGGACTGGAAAAAACCCAGTCTGGCAACAGCCTTTGCCCCTTCCCTCCCCAGAATATAAGACCAAGGCACTCCAGATCACAACAGGTAAGCTGAACAATAGGGCAAAGCGCGTTGGTGTTCTGAATGAGCAGCTGAGGCCCAGCAGAGGAAGGCAATTTAAATAGCTGAAACAGCTGCCCTGCGAAAAAAACTTTGTGAATTGATAGTTTCCTTGCTGGAAGGAAAGGCCAGCTTTCAACTGAAATGACAAGTCTTTACTCTAAAAGCAGGGGTGATATCACTGAGGGGATGGAGCGTTGCTGACCTAGAAGCAACAGCTGCGTTGTCTCCTGTTCTCTGCTGCACGTAATCCAGCATGACATTGCTTCGATTTTGCAATGGAGGTTTTTAATAGTTCCACTGCAGGTTTGTGCTGTGGCAATGAGCCCATGTCTTGTTCCACCACACAACTGCCTCGTTACAGCAAAGAGAATATTAGGAAGTTATGCTCAACTGTGCAGCCGAAGGATGACTGCAGTGGGGCTCGCTGCTTTGTAAGGAAATTAGTAAATCTCAAAAAGCTCAGTTGTTCTGAGGCTCGGTTCAACAAGTTATGCTTTCATGAGAAGTGGAAGAGGATAGTTCGTAGGGCTAATTTTAATTTGAGGTTTAAATGACTCCTCATGAGCTTGAAGGCGATAGACAGAACAGGGTTTTCCTATCCTCTGCTTTTCTGAGCAGTGAGGTTGAAGCCATTTCTGCTCCTGTAACTTCTGGAGGAGGGACCATACATCCTCAAAGCAGTTAGTTGGGTCCATTCTTGACTGAGCCTTTTGTGATATTGTTGGCCTCAGTGCCCGTCACCTCAGACCCACATTTCAGAGATGTTATCTGAACTACAGTGACTTCAGTTCAATTAATAAGATCCACAGAGACTCTTGTGAAACTCAGAAATCAAAGTACTGAAAATCAGTAGCCATTTTCTGAGCTGATCCTGGTCACTTCTGTGTCTTACAACACCTCCTAAGGCATGTGTGAAAAATCTGAGGACTTTGAATGTCTTCAGCCTGATCACCACTTTGAGAGGCTGCTGTGCTATTGCAGAAGCAGACATGCCCACCTTTTGAGTGCTGGTTCTTTCTTTGCTGTGACGTGCTGAGCCATTGGTACCTCACACTGCTGCTAAGCTTGGGCACAGTGTGTTTTGTGGAGAGCCAGCCCACAAGCAAACTGTAATTAAGCTACAATTGCCAACTTTTATTCCAGAGTAATCTTTCCTCTGCAGAGAACTTCCCCGGATTGGCCCAACTCTCTTACTGTCTATTGCAGTGTCAGCGTGCTGCATTACAACCACGGTGTCAGGATTTCCTTTCTCCCTCCCTCCCTCCCT